GGGGGAGGGGAAGAAAAACAGACTGCTTGGGAATAGTGAGTGGGGGGTGCAGAGTAGATACTGACACCACATGACGGCCAATATTGGAACTGAAGATGCAAGCCACAGATGCTGGCGAAACGTCAGAAAGAAACTCTTTCAGAACATGGCCACACAGCCCGAAAAAACCCACCAAAAAAAAAAATATTGGAACTGCCGTGGAAGTGAGGTTTCACACCTGTGGAGTAATGGAAAAGCAAGGTGATTGGAAGCTTATGGATGGGTTTCCCCCATCAATGAAGAGGAACTCTTTAACAATGCTTCAAAGGCAAGGCAATGAGACAGAGATTACCTTGTGCGATACATATTGCCAAAGATGCTGTTCTCCAACTTTAATTGTGGCTTGAAAACCTAGTGTGATAATGTCCCTAGTCTCTGGAGCAGCAGAAAACAAGCTTGTTCCTTCTCCCATTTGACATCCCTTCAAATATTTAAATGTGGCTATCTTGTCACCTCTTAGCCTTCTCTTATCCAGGCTAAACATACCTAGCCCCCTAAGCATACCCTCACAGGGTATGGTTTCCAGACCCATCACCATTTTGGTTGCCCTCCTCTGGACATGCTCCAACTTGTCAATATCCTTCTTGAATTGTGATGCCCAGGACACAGTATTCTGGTTGAGGTCTCACCAAAGCAGAATAGAGTGGAACTGTTATTTTCTTGCTCTAGATGCTATGTTCCTGTTGATGCAGGCTTGAATCACATTGACTTTTTAGCTACCACATCACACTGGTGGTTCATGTCCAGTTTTGGATTTACTAAGAATCCTAGATCTCTTTTTGCATGTTCTGTTGTCAAACCCGGCGTCTGTCATCCTATATCTGTGCATTTCATTTTTTTTCTGCCCAAGTGTAGTACCTTACATTTCTGCCGTTGAAATTCATTTTGTTATACTTAAAACAAAATGGTTGATGCATGAGTAGAGCCTGGATGTAGGGCCTTAGGTAGAACTCAGAATAAATTCAGTAGTGAAGCTGGCAGGGGTGGTCCCTATTAGTTTTGGGTAGGTTCACTGGAAACATGGCCTGGAATCTTATTGTTGCTTTATGTGTGCATATGCTCCTCTATGGCAATAAATGAAAATGTTTGTCTGATGCAGAATGCATATCCTCCAACCTAGATATGAGAACAGTTCCTTCAGTTAAGATTTCAGTCTTAATTTCCAAACAGGAAAATATGTTTTCTGTGTATGTTTGTTCAAATGACAAGCTGAGAGTAACTTCGGTTGGTACTTAGTGAATGATGCTTAATAACATTACCAGGGGGTGTTCCTTCATCTCAGGTTTTGACATGGAAACATGGCTTGGGATTGTCTTGAACTGGCAATTCTAAGGGTGCATCTACATAATAGAAATAAAGCAGTATGAGATGTTACTTGAAATGCTGGGGTTCCAAAAGGGCATCCACAAATTAATATGTTTACAGGGGAATTTCAATAGTAGCTCAAATGAAATAATATTCTGGCTAGGGCAACAGTGGCCTTAGGGACCAACCCAACTATACCAGGTCCAAATCACACAGAAATCCACAGGCAAATCCAAATAGGGTTTTTGTATTTTTATTAAAGAAATAATCAACACACACACAACACATGCACTCACGCACACACACAAGAACTAAGAAATCCCATCAGGGTGGGTGCTGTCTAACTCCCTTGCTAGCTCAAACTGGTTTTCCAAATGTAAAGAGGTCAAGCATCCACAGCAGAGTTATTCCTAGGTTGCCCACCCCAGTGTCCCTTTTAATATTACTTTAATATTAAATATGAAGGGTGATTGGGGGTCTGATCCTGAGGTTACAGCAACCACTTTAAATGTTGCAGCTCCATCTTAAAGAATTATGGGATTTGTAGTTTTACAAGGTCTTTACCCTTCTCTGGCGAAGTGTGCTGGTGCCTCACAAAACTACAGATCTCAGAATTCTGTAGGATGGAGCCCTTGCAGTTAACAGGGTATCAAATTGCATTATTTCTATGGTGCAGATGCACCCTAAATGGCGTTGAACTAAATATGGCTGCTCTACATCAAACAGAAAGGCCCATCCATTTTTCTAGGGTAAAACACGAATAAGATTTTGTGGTGGCATAAATAAAAGAAGAAAAAAAGACAGCAAGACAGTTCAAAGAAGATTCTGGGGTTGTGCATTTGGAGAGAAGGCAGGATAGAAGCCTTGAGATGAAATGAAGATGTTTCCGAAGCAGAGAAGGTGGACAGGTTCACTGTTCAATTTTAGATAAGTTAAGCAGAGATGCGTTTCAGCTGGGAACAGCAATAAAGCTGGAAAATAGAGCTGTAGAAAGGGATAAGTTGGAGGAACAAAGAAGGGAAGACAAAGGCTGAGAAGACAGATTGGGGAAGAGATTGCAGTGAAGGTAAATACCATTGAAGATAATATCTGCAGGAGAGAATGAAAGAACAAGGAAGAGCCAGATTCAGAAGAAGGGAAGAGTCAGGAGGAAAACAATCAGCAGTGAGTCAAAGAGGAAATAGAGATATAAGACAAAAAAAAAAAAAAAAAGGAACAAAATGAGAGAAACTCAAACAATGCGGCAGAAGAAAAAGAAGGGATGGAGAGCAGAATTCATGGGGCATTCGTGAAACAGATGATGCTGGGTTGAATCCAAACTCACCATCTAGAAGTTTTGGAAAATTCCTTAGTACTACCACCCTTCTGGGCTCCTCCACACTGGTCTTAAGAAGCGTGATATACTATAGTTCCTTGGGTTTTGTCTTGTCTTGGTAGTGGTGGTTGCCTCCATGCCCACTTCTTTCATCTTTTTCAGGGAGCTATTTTTAACCATTTCTTGGATCTGTACTGGGCTTTTCCAAAGGTTTGTCAAAGTGCTCATATGGCTTGAAAGCTCTGGCAAAAGCAAACTCCTGCAGCCCATCTTAGCTTGTCTGATCTTCCTGATTGATAACTTTTGCTATCTTGACCACACTTTGAGATTAACCTACCGAAACACGTCCCAGCTTTCACCTGTGAAATGTTGTAAAGTGGGGAACTCTGGAATCAGTAGCTTTGTGAGGTACTTAGGATACATTACTGAAGAACTCTAGTGCTTTAGTTCATGGATCTGTAACAGAGAATTCATATCCCAGGTGTCCATTGGGTCAAAATGTTATTTAACTGTGAATACTGTGAACGCACCATACAGAGTGGTTGAATGCCAACCTCCAAGAGCCAAACTAATAATAATAATAACAATAATAGTGCAGTTTATTTATAATGCCCTTTCCACTGAAGGGTGGAACATCAAAGATACCTAATAAAAAACAGATGATAAAACACAACACTATAAAATGCTAAAGTACTAAAATATTATACTAATTTACTAAAACAGACTCCTTATCAGTCACTACCCATCTCTGCCACTTTAAGCACACTCAACAACTCAGCAATCCAGTAAATTGAAGAGGAAGGGCTTCAACTCTTTATGAAAGTGGGTAAGATCCTCCTGAGAGCCACCGTGGTATAGTGGTTTAAATGTTGGACTGTGACTCTGGAGACCAGGGTTCAAATGCCCACCCAGCCATGGAAATTGAAAGGGTGACCTTGGGAAAGTCACACTCTCCCAGCCTCAGAGGATGTAAATAGCAAACCCCCTCTGAGGAAACTTGTCAAGAAAACCCTATGATATGGTCGCCACATGTTGGAAAAACTCACAACAATAATAATAATAACAGCAGCAGCAGCAGCAGCAGCAGCAACAACATTCTCCTCCAGCCAGAGGGGCAAAGGAAGACTGCTGCACAAATGCAGAGCCAAATCCTGAAAGGCTCGCAGCCTTGATAGAGCCTTATGCATTGGTGGAACTGCAAGTAATCCTTTGCCTGTAGATCTTGTACAGGCATGTACAGCGCTGTGTAAATCTACAGTGCTATATAAATAAAGCATCATCATCATCATCATCATCATCTTAAATACCTAAATTTACCTATCTAAATAAAAAACTTCACCTGCCAGCAAAAAGTAATGAATGAAGGTACAAGTTAGACCTTCCTTTGCAAGAAGTTCCAGAACTGGGAAGCAGCCACCAAGAAGGCCTGGTCTGAAGTTTCTGGCAAACATGTTTTAGTCATCAGCAGGACAGCCAGAAGGGCCTCTCTCTCAAATTGTAAACCCTAGGCAGGCTTAAATGGGAGAATGCAGTGTTACACAGAGAGTAGCTATTCTACTTTTTTTCTGGGGAAGAAGTGTACTGCAGGAATCAGAATGTGATTTAGCTTCTGTGCAACATCTTTCATAAATCCTGATAGCTTCCAAAAGAAGCCAACTTGTCTTGCTGCTGTTTATGACCATGCCCCCCCCCCCCCAACAAAACAACTTGTAGACTGGGCAAGGGTTGCAGGAGGAATGACTAGAGGGCTAATTTTAACTTAAATCTGTGCCTTTGGCATCTGACCAACATTTAAAGCTATACTGAAGGATCAGATTGCAAATGAAGAGCATGCACTGATGAAAACTGGAAGGCAGCAGGGCAGACTGGGGGGCGGGGGGAGGATGACAAGAAAAAGCCTGAGAATAGGCATCCTATGAGATACCCAAGACAACTGATACTGCAACAAGAGGGTATCTGAAGTCATCAGGAGGTTGGTGGGTTCCAGGCAGTTGGCCGTGAAGGCAGGACACAGAGACTCTCATCAAGCCAACATGTGTTGCTTGGCATCTGAGGAAAGAGGCAAGTGTCCCGATGTGTCAGACGCAGCTGTGAAAGGTGAAAGGGAAGGCAAGTGCAGAGATAGTGTTTGGAATGAAGCCACAGAGGCTCCAAAGTACACCAGTGTGGTTATGGGCCAGTATTCCAAGACCAGGTTGGAAGTCCAGCTCCAGTTACAAAGGGGTACTGGGAATCCTTTAGGCAAGGGTGTCTGCTTTGCTATAGGCTCACATCCTATCACAGAAAGTCAAGAAAAACAGCAGTGTCAAATTCATGTTTTTAATAATAATAATAATAATAATAACAATAATAATAATAATAATAAATTTTATTTATAACCTGCCCCTCTGCTAGGCAATCGAGATGGTGTACAAAGTTAAAACAAGACAACAGTTAAAACAAATTCCATCCCCTCCTCAATCCCTAACCCACCCACCCCATAAATGTCGAATTAAACCAGTACAATAATTAAAATATAAATTAAATCAAGAATAATTTAAGACAGTGGAACAAACAGTGGAGGCAGGGAGCAGTAAACATCCGAACTCTATTTGGGGCAGGAGAGTTATTCCGGGAAGGACTGTCAGAAGAGATCCGTCTTTACTGCTTTTTTGAAGCAGTCAAGAGTAGTAATAAGTTTTTGTCAGTCCCAGGAAATTTGGCCAAGGGAAAAGTCCCCTTCACCCAGGTTCCATGGAGTGGGAAATAAGCAGCATCTTTGTCAATGTTTAGCAGTAGTGCCAGCAGCGACAGAGAAAGAAGATAATGGTGGTCTTATTCTTTGAGTGTGGATTTTGATCTATCCAGAATGGTACTACTTATGCATAAGATGGAGGTACAAACTAGAGGGAAACCTAAGGTTTGCAGGAGTATAACTGCCCTCAAAGTGTGTGTGTGTGGAGGGGCTCTGAGGACTTATTGCCATACAAGTTGGATAACAGCGCCTTTGGCAACACTTATCACACAATGCTGTCTTGCCCTTGTCATTGGCTTGACTTCCAAGTGTGTTTAGCCCACACTTTGCCATTAATGGGGAAAACCTGTCAATAAGTTCCCAATAGCACTGGTATAGTACTAGTTCTCAGATGTAGTAAATTAATCCTGTGGCAGTTCCAGGATTGTGAAATCATAACTCTGGAATTGGGTTAAATACACACACACAAACGTAAAAGGTATGCTGGTTAGAGCATAGGAGGCAGGGATAAGAATGAGGGAAGAAGAGAGTGTGAGTGGTCAGCAACAGACTGGTTGTGCTATTGAAGAGACTTGCGTCAGAGAGCACTCCCAAACTGGTATGTATGCACTTCTTTTCATTAATGGAATTGTGGCAAGAACAAGGGTCATGTGATAAAATCCTATAACTCTGTGAGGACTGGGAATGTGCTGGTTGACTGTTGCAAATGGGCAAGGGAAGGCCTGGAATAAAATGTCCTTGCAGGGGACATATTTGGCTGGCTGGAACCTGGAGCAGTAGTGTTCCTAATCCATGGCAGGTGGTCCCACTGGGTCTATTAGGACAGGGTAGGTCAATGGTCAAGAGAGTGTCAACGTCTTACAGGACAAGTCCTTGATATATGAATATTTAAGCAAACTGAAGGACAATTGCTTATTTTGGTTCAATACACTTCTCCACTCTTCTATTTGGTTCTCTTCTCGGGGCAAAAATATAGCATCTGCTCTTTCTAGTCATTCTGGGCACTCATTTTTCAGCCCCGAAACTCCCTTGAAGATCCCTAAAGCCCTCAGACTCCCCTCACCTCCAAATTCAAATATTTTATTCAGCTGAAAAAAATCCACACAGATGTGGCAGTCTGACTTTACTTGTTCCACCCTACTACCCCAAAATGTTGGGAATTAGCCATATTTGGGTTGATCCCTGGCACCAGGTATGGGATCACCCAACTTCAGGTCACACTGAGAGTAGCTGTACAGACTGCACATGGGATGGGAGGAATCGCTTCCACCTCCTTCATACTTGCCCAGCCGATCCTAAACAAGGACGAAGGACTGTATTACACTGACTCAGCAAGGTCTTCCCACTTATCAATTATTGCCCTATTACTTCTTGTAATACGTAATCGTTCTATTAATTGTTGTAATACGTAATCATTGTATTTGTATGTTTGACATGTTTTTGCTCTCTTTTATGTTGTAATGTTTTTGTTTTTGTAGTATTTATTTTTTTTAGTTTTATAACTGTTGTTTTGACATTGGTCATATCAATAAAAATGTGCTTAGGAAAAAAAAATTGTCCTATTATCTGGAGCAGCAGAAAACAAGCTTGCTCCATCCTCAATTTGAGGGGGTGTCATATTGAGGCTGGAGCAAGCTTGTTTTCTGCTGCTCCAGAAAATATGACCCGGAGCAATGGATGCAAGCTACAGGAAAAGAGATT